AAAGAAATTGCCTAGTATTCAATGACATATAGGATGATCGACACTACACAACAGCTTCTTTTCCTCTGTTTCTAACAAAACTTTCTTGCTTTTTAAGACTTTGCTGAGTTTTTGTAAGTCAGGCTTTGCTATGCCAATGCGTCTTCCAGATAATCTAAGACTCAGATTGAAGGCAAAACGAAAAATATTTTGGCTATATGCGAAAGTTTCATGCGTGCCACTAATTACTAGAACGGTCATTAAAGACTTTATCTAAATTAAAAAATTAAATTTTAAAAAATTAAATTGTCTAGACGATGCAGACCATGATTCTTTTGAAATCAAGAAGAATACTATGAATTGGTGATTTGTTGACAGTTGGCCCAAAGTCATGAGTAGACACCTCACGTGTCACCCATCACAGCAAGTGCAATTAATAAAACATCTACACGAACCCTTAAGAAAAAAAAATTCTGATCGAAAACATTAAAATTCTATGTAAATCAAATTACAGAAAACATCTCGTTTTATGAGGCCCTGTATATCAAACATCTCTCTCCCACTATCGACTTCACCATGTTTAACAATGGGAACGGCGTGCTGAAAGTTTTTTTTTTAAAAAAAGCAGAAAGAGGCCCACGTGAATTCCAGCCCTGATCAACACGCGAAGGCTCGGAATAAACGTCCAAAACGACAAACAAAAATATATTTCAAACACTCAAAACATGAAAAGAAACTAACAACTGGCGAAAATAACTAAGAAAGCGTTTGGCAATGGACGATATGAACAGTTTTTGTAATTCTTCACTCCCACCAAACGGAAAAATGTAAATATTCCTTGTTCGTCATATTTAACGAAAGATGCTTAAAAGAAAGGTTGCGGCCTAAATATATAAATATATATATATATATATATATATATATATATATATATATATATATATATATATATATACAGTTTTAAAAACAAGGAATTTATTAATGGTAATAGTCCCTAAGGCCCTTTCGTCTAACATCTCATCAGGAGAAAATCGTTGGAAAAATTGATAAATTAAACGAAAAGAACAACAATGAAAATGAAGAGCAAAAAAGGGGGGAAACACGCTAAAATCAATAACATATAAGTATATATACTTATAACGAGGGGGGGAATCGCGTGTAAATAATTAACGAGGGACAGTTAAAATAAAATATCCCCCAACAAATTAAGGGAGTTCACAAAGTCCTTCTGTCGGCAAAGAGAAGGTTTCCGTAATCCTATAAAGATTGATTCCAAAATCTTCAAATGATTGTTGGAACCAGCCGTATGAATAATTTTGAACCACTCTTTCGTATAGGAATTGACACAGGCTATATTCTCTACTAGGTGTTGAGCAATAGCCGATTCCATATTTGTAGAGGGAAGATATATATATATATATATATATATATATATATATATATATATATTATGCCTCTAAATTCCTTTGAGGAATATAGGGTCGCGAGATATTGTTACGGTTTCTATAACAAGCCAGTTTTTTGGGTTTTTTAAGTGTGTAGGTTCTTAGCCACATAGAGGACTGGGTTTTGAAGTCAGAGTCGTCCTACTCTTAGACTTGTTGCCACCCAAGAACCCGATCTATCCTGGGGAGAAGAAGAGAATTCATACCTTTCCAAGGGCATAGCACGTAAGTGAATGTAATGGATTCGACTGGAATTAGAACCTCCATTAATCCACCATGCTTCATATATATATATATATATATATATATATATATATATATATATATATATATATTGTGTATGTATTGTCATTTGCAAAATTTCTTCCCCTGACCAGATCATCACTTCAAATGTACCAAAGTTGTTACAATATTTGTACTTCCTTATATTAGAATTTGCTCTGAGATTCTTGGAATAATTTTATAATAGGTTAAACTTAATCACTTAGAATGATTTCTATTTTAGTCTAACACTAATATTAAGGCATTAACAATCTTAACCAAGGTTCGCTGTCAAGGTTTTTGAATTCTCATATACTTGTATTTTGATTGGTCATTGTAGCTTATGTAACAGTGTTTCCCCTCATTGAGAGGTGTTTGGTTGATTTGAATCTTTTAAATCTCGTTATTTTACTTTCAACATCATCCATTGAGAAGTGTTGAAACAAAATGGCTACTTTTGTTTTCTTGTAGTGATGTTATAACATGTTTATATTATAATTTTTTAATAAATAATATCTGCTCTACTCTGCATTGAGCACTCTTTTAAGAATAGTGTTTTTGGTTATTAGAATTTATTCCGTCTACACTATATATATATATATATATATATATATATATATATATATATATATATATATATATATATATATATATATTCAAATGGATAAATATAAATAAATATATGTGTAAGTGTTCAAATACAAAGACACACACACACATATATATATATATATATATATATATATATATATATATATATATATATATATAAAGCGTGAAACCCAGGGTTACAAACTCATACCCATACAACTAAACATATAGATATATATATATAGTGCTGTTCGATAAATGTGACCCACCTGATTTTTTACTTAAAAATGTTTTCGCCTATTGTTTTTGGGGTCAAACTAATTTTTAATCTTACTAAGACCCCTTCCCGACCACCTAGTAAAAAAGTTTACTCACCCTAAGGTATTCTATTGATAATTATAATTTTGGATATAAATGAGATTTAGGGAAAAGCTCTGTGCAAAAAAAGTGACTCACTTATTTCCCGCAACTAGTCATCAATAGAAACATAACCGAACAGCTTTAAATAAAGAATAATAGAGGCATGATTTATTTATAATAGGTAATATAGTTCGAAATATTTAATAATCTATGGGTCCTCCTTTATTTTGAATAAACTTTTCAACCCTTTTTGGCATTGACTTGATTAGGTTCTGGCAAATCTCCAAGCATTGAATTCTATTCGGATATGAAATTCACAATCAAATCCTCTTTGTTGCTCAACTCCTTTCTCGAGAGCCTGTACTTTATAACGCTCCATAAGTTTTCTATGGGGTTGAGGTCAGGAGATTGGGGCTGCCATGTCATAACACTCACCTGCTTCTCATCAAAGTATTCCTTCATCAATTTTGATTTGTGACAAGGAGCATTATCCTGCATAAAAATGAGCTTGGTGGGGTCGATTTGCACCCTTTCAGTAGAAGGGAGCAGACAAGACTATTAAATTATCTTGTACTGTTCACTTCTGAGGGTCTTTTCAATAGATTTTAAGAAACCAGTTCCATGAAAAGAAAAGCATCCCCAGAACATTATACTGAACGGATGCTTGACAGTACTTACTGCAAAATTCAAAGAGCTTTCAAAGCTTCTTCTTCGGATTTTAGATTGCTAATCCTTTGAATTTAGCTCAACTTTCGTTTCATCGGAGAAGAGAACATTCTTCCAGTCTTCTACGGTGAAATTTTTGTAATTCAAGTCTCTTGGCTTTGTTGGCTTTGCTTATTAGCGGCTTAAACCTTCGTGTACAAGATTTGTGGCCTTGTTCTAACAGCCACCGACGGACTGTTGAAGAGGCAAGACTAACACCTTGCTCTTCACTTAGACTGGCTGCAATTTCTTGGCTAGTTATAGTCCTGTTCTTCGCAACTTCTCTCTTGATTACCCAGCCAGTTCTATCATCAATCTTTTTCTTTCGTCCGCTTGTTTCCTTCCTTGGAGCAGAAGTGGCATCATTATGTGCCCTAAGTACTTGAGAGATAGTTGATTGTGAGGTTATAGCAATTTCTGCAATTTCTCTCGAAGTCTTTCCTGCTTTTGAGAGGGAAATAATAGACGCCTTAAGTGGTTCTGATGCGTGTTTATACCCTTTCATCTGGTTAGTGACTTGAGTGGCTATTTCAAGCTGTTTTTATACTGTATGAGGCTTTCTGGAATATTCTGGAATACTCTAGATTTAATTTAAGCTGTTCTAGAATTCTCTAGAATATTGTTCTGAGTGTATTGTAAAATAGTTTTCAATATTTAGTCAAAAGCTCTTTAAATTTACCAGTTTAATCATTAGAATGCGATATCTGAGTCACTTTTTTTGCACAGAGTTTTTTTTCCTGAATCTCATTTATATCCAAATTTATAAATATCAATAGAATACCTTAGGGTGAATAAACTTTTTTCCTAGGTGGTCGGGAAGGGGTCTTTATATTTGTAAGATTAAAAATTATTTTAACCCCAAAAACAATAGACAAAAATATTTTTAATAAAAAAAATCAGGTGAGTCACTTTTATCGAACAGCACTATATATATATATATATATATATATATATTGGTGGACGAAAAACAGTGCTCAGTTCTAAATAACAGAGCTATTAAGTATATACTAATAAATATGTATGATGCTATACGCCGTCAGTGCAACTTATTACCATCTGCAGCAGAAAACAGGATGATTGCATCAGTAACAGTCATGAAGTTCTGAATAAATACAACATGACAGGTATTGAAACCATCCTAATGAAAATCCAACTCAAGCGGGCAGGAAAACTTTCTCGCATGAGCGATAGCAGACTTGCGAAACAGTTCCTCTTTGGCCATCTTCTAACAAACAGATCATTTCGAAGGCCACTCATGCGTTTCAATGACAAACTCAAAGGCTATCTGAAGTGTTGCAGCATCCCCTTTTCTATCCGCTAAGTCAAATCGCCAGCGCTAAGGATCTGGTGCTTGTCCTGCTTCTCATTTATACAAAGGTTTGAGTGAGGTCGACTAAGACATCGGGGTCAACTGCATGCAAATATTAAAGCAATTTGGCAGTATGCTGCTTCTCTCAATGATATCCTTAGGTGCCACTGTGGTTTTGCCGTAAGCAATAACCCATGTCCTCCTATCCACACATCGCAATTGAGCCTCAACCACGCGATCGAAATGGGTCAACCACATTTTCCATCGGTCTAAAAGTTTGCAAAACACCTGCAGGCCTTGGGTGATATACGCGTGTCTATAGAAGTTGTGCACCTCTTTATTTTACTGAGCTATCATTTGTCGTTCGCGATGAGAGAATCCACCATTCTTCCTTCCTTTCTTTCTTTTCCAACGTATTATTTCTGTCTTTTCCTTTTTCAAGTTTTCTCTTTTTCACCTTGCACTATTCTCACGCTTTCTTTCTCTTTAGCATTTTTTACTTTTTTTTTTCGAACGACTACTTTCTTTCTTTCTTTCTTTCTTTCTTTCTTTCTTTCTTTCTTTCTTATTACTTCATAATTTTCTTTAATCAACTTTTATTTCTCACTACTTCCTTCCCTAAATCAATTTTCTTTTCTTTTTTAATGAACTTTTTCTTTCTTTTCTTCTTTCTATGTTCTTACGTTTGCTTTTACACTTTTGTCACCCATTTCTTCTCTTAAACAATACTTCCTTTCGTTCTCTCTCCTTTCTTTCTTACTTTCTTTCTTTCTTTATTTTTTGTATCACTGGCCTCTTCTTGCTGATACTTCTCTTTTTTCTCTTGTTAGGTCTATTTATTTTCCCTCTTCTCCCCAAGTTTCATTTTTGATTCTTTATCTATCCCGTTCTTTCTTTCTTTCTTTCTTTCTTTCTTTCTTTCTTTCTTTCTTTTTGTCACTACCTTTTTCATTTCTTTTCCAATCGTATCCATTCTCTCTCTCCCTCCCCCTCCCTCCCCCTCCCTCCCCTCCCTCCCTCCCTCCCTCTCTTATTGTGACCGTATGTACTTCTTTTTTCCTCGCTTGCCCTTCTCCTTCTATTGAGGCATCAACATCAAATGTTGTCATTTTTTTCATCAAAGCTTCTTTTTACTATCTTCGTCTTTTAAAATGAGTAAAAGATGAAATAGAAGCCACATTTTCTTTTGGCTCGGTTTCAGATGGCGAAATCTGAGGATTTCTCTTCTTCCCAAAACGGAAACGAGGCTTAAAAGAACTTCTTTCTTCCTGTCTGCATAATATAATTCTTGCCTGTTCTTAAATAGCTACAGCAGACTGGAATCTAACTCCTTTCCTCATCAAGCAGTGTACAAAACAAAAGTATATATATATATATATATATATATATATATATATATATATATATATATATATATATATATATATATATTGAGGAGAGGAAGAAGAATTCAGTACGGAATCGAGCCAGTTAAACCAGGAATTTTTTCATTTGAGTAAAAGTTGAGCTGTGCAGAGTTGAACAAAAATTTGACCTTTCCGAAGAGGACAGATTAAAGAAGAAGAAAAGAAAAAAAAAAAGAAACTGGGAGGTGGGGGGAGAAAATTAGCAAAGAGAAGAAAGTAGATGGGGCGGAGAACTGAATGTTTTTTTTTTCTTTTTTCACTAAAGAAAACCCAAATGGGTTTTTCTAAGTTAGGATAGGCTGCGTCGAATTACTGACCTTTCGAGCGCAGGTCATTTGTCCCCAATAGACGCATTGTAACGCTTGTTTTCTGGAATGGCTCCGACTTCTTGGACAATTTAAACGGAATTTTTGTTTCCTCCATTTGGCATCAGAAGATAAATAAATATATAAATAAATAAAAGCAAAGAGAATACCAAATAAAGATTTGTATCCCCCACCAACATTCACTATACATGAAATGAATGTGTATATCTTAAAAATATATACATACATATATATATATATATATATATATATATATATATATATATATATATATATATATATATCTCTGTGTGTGTAAATGTTTGTGTATTCTTACGTATATATATATATATATATATATATATATATATATATATATATATATATATATATATAAAACATTTTAGAATATAATAGTTCAAAAAGTAAACAAGATATTTTCATATAGTGCTCAATATTAAAAATGGTATAATATTAAAAATAGAACATTGATAATATTAAATACAGATAGATAACTGTAAATATGGATTTTTGATGTTGTTTCGAAGTCTCTTGGAATTATAAAATTTGAAGAATGGATAATTGCAAGAAACTACAAATTCGTGGAAACAACATCAATAATTGATATTTACAGTAAAGTAATCTTTATATATATATATATATATATATATATATATGCATTTTAAGAGGTTCACATACTTGTATATATATATATGCAAGCGCGTATGCGAAGGAAATCGTATATACAGTGTAACCCGGATATAAGAGACCCGGATATAAGAGAAACCCGGATATAAGAGAGATTTTCTCTGGTCCCAAATTAGAGCCCGTGTTAATGTAAACAAAATAGACCAAACCCGGATATAAGAGAAACCCGGATATAAGAGATTTCTTCTCCGGTCCCGACAACTCTCTTATATCCGGGTTTAATATATATATATATATATATATATATATATATATATATATATATATATGTATGTATACAAGCATAAATGAATATATTTAATGGTACTCGAGTTCATTTTTGGCATTTAGAAGTGAATGAATACGATGTTATATGTCGCATATAATATGTAATAAATTTATATATCAAAGTTATATGTCAAGCTAAGTATATATAAATTGTGGGATGGGTAAATTTTTGCCATTTTATATTTTTAATTTCGTACATGCACGTTGTTTGTTTTTGATTTTGTATCAGCTGAAGAAACCGGAACATACAACGGTCGAAACCTCGTGAATATGATCCAAAGAATAAGGAAGATAGTCCGTACAATGTAAATAAGAACTTAATGTATTGACAGTAAAGAAAATATTTGCAGAATATTAATTAATTCTGTTAAAAACTTGAAAGTACGCAAACTAGCGCCTTTAAGTCAACATCACAAAAAGAAAAATGAAAAAGTACCAAAAAAAAAAAAACTCCTTGATTTCTTGGCACTAATTTTTATTGATGAACGTAGATTTACATTAGATGAACATGATGGCTTATTAGAGCTTGAGTCTTTGTAAGAACTTGTCCAGACAACGTGGAACGTAGAGTAATATGTTAAGTTAGTATTATAGGCAGCAAAAGTATACGTCCTTTCAAAGTTAATGATCCTCACAAGATAAATATTTCTCCTTTTAGGTGCAGTGTCCTCCGATCAAGACGTAGGCGATCATGGCCCTCCACATCTTCATCTCCTTTGCAGCTCCTAATAAGTTTTGACTTTTTGTTAATTCTCCCAAACCCTGTTCTGTTATCATTTGCTCAAGTCCATCAAGTATGTTACATTCTGCTTTCCCCCGTCCCTCTGTCCTGTGAGTATCAGATTTTCCAAGCCCTCCTTCCTCATTATGTATCCCAGAAATTTCAATTGCCTTTTCCTGATGTTAAATATAAATTTGATTTTTGTTTCCATTCTCTCCAAAACATAGTCGTTGCTCGCATGTTTGGACCAGGATATCCTCAACATTCTCCTGTAGAACCGCATTTCTGTTGCTTCAAGTCTCAGATTGCTGTTTTTCTTCGATAAGAATTTATTTAGTGCTACAGGCTCCAGATTTATGCTAAGAGAACCCTTCTTGAAATCATCTTTTTTATTCTTCAAAACCAAATATTGCCCACCTTGTCCCATGAAACAAGGTTTTAAAGACACTATATTACTGGAATGGTTTGCAACCTCTCCAGCAATAGAAAACTTCCGGACCATCATTGAAAGAGATTATATGGGAATGGGAAGCAATATTCAAATAAAGAAGACCTCTGGGAAGAAATAAAAATGTCTGCGAGTATTGTTAAAATTGAAACAGTAAAAAAATTAACAAAGTCGATGGGAGAAAGATTATGAATATTATAGAATACCGGAGTGTCGATGTGTAAAAAAAAATAAACTAATAATTTATTCCGGGATATGAGATATTGTTTTAATGAAATATACGCACTCCGACCCAATCCTTTGAACAGGAGTAGAGGTTTATCCTTTGTTTCCTGTTAAGGGTTGTGTTTCCAGTCCCTTTTAAAGTCTACTTCAACTATTTACTTCTAACATCTTCACCTAAACTCTGAAATTTAATTTACTATTTATTTATTTTTCTTTTAGGGGAGAGATAGATTTGCCTATCGTCCGATTCAAAATCCTCTCCGGTGTTTTGAACAGGAGTAAAGGTTTGTTACACGTTTCTTGTGTCGGATTGTGTTTCCGGCTCTTTCTAAAGTGTTTTCCCTCTCTTTCATTCCCAGTGGCCCCTTGCATTATTGCTTTATTTGGGCTGAATTGATTAAAAAAAATAAATGTTCCTGTGGACTATATACGTGTTATTTATTTATAAATAAAAAAATAATAATAATGCTTGAACAAAGAAAACTGACACCCCTATTAAAACAGCTTATCAACATTTTTAATAGAATAGCTATAATAAAACCTGGTGACAGATAGGTTCCACCAGGTCCACTTTGCCTAAGAACGGCTACAGGGATCTTACAACTACACCTGGTCATGTGATTGATGTTGATGGTGATGTAAGCTAAACGTGTTTTATACTGGTTTTAACAGTAAAATTGTCCAACTGTTAGATTACGATCTGAACCGGTGTATCTTAGAAATGATTAAAGATATATTACTGGAATTCTCCGAGTTTTTTTTATTCTACTTTGAGCTATAAGAATGTATAATGCTTAACAGAGTCATGATGAAACCGATCACAAACGAAAATTAATTATAGCTAAGGATCGGAAGCTTATGAAGGGTTTATATGAAGTTCAAATATATATATATATATATATATATTATTCCAGGATCATTTTCCAACTTATTCAAGATGTTCTTCCCCCTCTGGCTTTCTAACATTCTGTCCTGGAGTAACAAGTTGCCTCACAGGTTTCACGTACGATTATATTTTCAAGTCTTTTTTCACTGCTCTTTAGACTGTCATAGCTGAAACTCTTTTCTCACGTGCCAAACGTGTTATGGATTGAGTTGGATCTTTTCTAATTAATCTCTTTAGCTCTAAGTTGAAATGATGATCCCTCTTTCTGTTGCAACCTCCTGATTCATTTTTCCTCTCTACTGTTCCCTCTTTTCTAAACTTATTCACTGTTCTCTTGATGGTTCTTGAACGGACGTTGAAGACAAAAGCCAGAATATCAATGCTGGTACCATTATTGAACACCTGAATTAATTTTTTCCTCTCACCATTGTTGATTTAGTAAGATATAGTGCAGATATTGTGAGTTAATCGACAAAGATAGACTGGCTACCAGTCTAATAGAATTAATACTTCGACTTTTAAATCACAGATAAGGCAACGAGGGACATTCTACTATCTTCCCAAAAAGTCAGGACAATTCAAATTTAATAAAGAGTATAAATCTCTGGAGAGCCATGATCGCCTACGTCATGATGGACATAACATTTTTAAAAAAATACGCTGGAAATTTTACCAACTTCAGTTATTTAATACTACTTTTATTGGCAAAACATTGACTTGAATAAGAAAATCTAACATAATATATATAAGGTTTCTCGAGTGTGCAAGGCCGGGAAAGGAAATAAAATACTGTTTAAAATGAACAGAGCGTTTACTCAAATGCGTGTGTCTACTAAATATAGCGTTTAAAATGATAAAAATCATGTCGAATTAAAACAAAAATCTTTAGAAATTGATTTGTTTACATTTCGGATACGAAACTGAGCAATCATGGCTTTCGAGAAAATCTGAACGAATGAATGTGCCTTGAAGTCAAAATAAAATGTTGCTTACTTGTAAAGATTTTTGCAAAGCACATCTCATTAAATGGCAGTTTTTCCTGCAAAGACTGAGGTGCATGTTCGCATCCTGCCGGAGGGAGAGTTTTCACGCATGCGCAGGCCTGTAGACGAAATAAAA